AAATCAATTTTAAAGTCTAATGCTGAGAGGATGAGATATTTAAATGGTAACAACTAGGAACCAAATTAGAGGACAGTCCAGCTGATTTAAAACTTATGTGTTTAAATTAGTAAGTGCTATGACAAAAAAGAAGAGAGAAAATATTTCCAACCTTCACTTCCTCCTCAACGTGTCTCTTCAGTTCCTCAATTTGCTGAGTGAAGGCCTGCTTGCCCCTTGTGAGCTGAGAAACAAGAGCTTCTTTCTCCTCAAGCTGGTGACTGAACTCACCTGTAAATAGTAAACAGGTTCTAATATTAGTTTTCTTCATTTTACCGACTGGTTAGTCGCAATTTGTGGTCACCTCTATATCACGAATATATCTAAGTGTTTAAAATTGATAACGCCACCAAAAGACAACTTCTTTGTTATACATCACTTACCATTCTCTGTTTGAAGTCTCGCCTTCTGGGCATTAATGTCATTCAGCTGACGAACATTCTCATCGTTTTTGGCTTTGAGTTCACTTAGTTGATCCTCAAGAGTCCTGCACATTTTCTCCAAGTTCCCCTACAGTAACAAATTGCAAGATATGTTGTAGATTTTTTCAAGTTTAAAACTTGTGAATTCATCATTTACAGTTGAAGAGTGTACGTGAAAAGCAAATAAATAATTCACCTTTCCTTTAGCAACAGCCTCCATGTTGCTGGAGAGGTCATCAATCTCCATCTTGTACTCGCTCTTCTCTTTCTCCAGCTTCTGTTTGACACACTGGAGGTAGTCAATCTGCTCTCCGAGCTCTAAATTAATTAAGCTTATTAATGAGAACTAAAATTGTAATTTTTTTTAATTAAAATGCACAATATTCTTTATGAACACTGGTCTTTAGTGTTACCTGGAGTTCCTTGATCTTTTTCTGAAGTTTAGCACCAAGGGATTGTTCATCCTCAATTTTGCTGAGAAGTTGGCTGATTTCAAAGTCCTTCCTTGATGGAGAAACCAACAGAGATTGTATTGTCACAGTCTGTATGATTGTTAGAATGCAATGAGTCAAAATGACATTCTTAACAAAAACAAAAAATGCCCTACTTCTTGATTTTCTCATCAGACTGCTGCTTGTCATTCTCCAGATCCATTATGGATTCCTGGGCCAGTTTCAGATCTCCCTCCAGCTTCCTCTTGGCTCTCTCAAGGTCCATGCGGAGCTTCTTCTCTTGCTCCAGTGAACCCTCAAGCTATAAAATCAAAAAGCAATATGATTATAATTTTCTTACATCATCAACTTGCTGTTCCAGCTTTGTCTTGGCCTTGGTCAGAGTGTTGACTTTGTCTTCCTCTGCCTGGAGATCATCCAGTGTTTGCTGATGGGCCTCTTGTAAGGCTTTCTTCTCCTTAGTCAACTTGGCAATGGCCTCATCCTGAGATGCCATCTCCTCTGTCAGGTTTTTCACCTAAGAATTGTACAAAGGATGTATTTAAATATAACTTAACAACTTAACAACTATATCTCAGGAAAGAATTAATTAATAAACTGAACCTTGTTTTCTGTGGCATGTTTCTCCTTCTCCACTTTGGCCAAGGTGAGCTCCAAGTCATCAATGTCCTTCTTTAGCTCAGAGCATTCATCCTCCAGCTTCCTCTTCTTAGCAGTCAGCTCAGCATTGATTTCCTCTTCATCCTCCAGTCTCTCACTTGTCTCTTTGAGTTTGGCCTCGAGCTGGATCTTGCTCTTAATGAGCCCCTCACACCTTTCTTCATCATCAGAGAGATTGTCAACTTCCTATAATACATGGAACAGAAAACAATGTATAATTTAGTGTTGTCATGTCATGTGTCTTGGCAATTGCTCATTATTCATTTTTAAAAATCGACACTCTGTTGTGCCACATACACGGTCAAAATCAAATCAAAATCAAATCACTTTTATTGTCACATCGCATGTGCAGGCACACTGGCACAGCACATGCGAGTGAAATTCTTGTGTGCGAGCCCCACAAGCAACAGAAATGTGCAAACACAACAACACAAACCAGCAAATACAAGAATGGCTACATCTGAAACTAATAAATATATGTACAATATATAATAGTGTATGCATTTCTGGAGGTCAGAATCAGCTAACATGCATACAAGAGATTATAGGCATTATATATTTGTTCTTTTGTTTATTACTTACTGCAGCGACTTGAAGTTGCAGGTCATTCTTCTCCTGCAGCAGGCCGACCATCTTCTCCTCCATATTGTCTTCTCCAGCCAGGTCTGTCTTCATCTTCTCATAGTTCTCCTTCATGTTCTGCAACTCCTTCTCAGTCTCAGCGCTCTTCAGGCTTGATCTTGAAGTAGTTTCAGCCATGGCCAGTTCTTGACATTCATGAAAGAACGGATGTTGTACTGGATGGAGAAGATAGATTCTCTAAAAACCAAAACATGAGAGTGTTACTGTTAGTGTCGTAGGATCTTAATATGAGGAAGGAAATACAAAAGAGAATACAATAGAGTTTAGTATGACAATGTTACCTCCTCTCCATCATCTTCACAAACTCTTTCCTCATTTTTTTGCACATGTCGAGGAGCGTGTCAGGCTACATTTCACTGTGTGTTATACTTGTATAACTATGCATGTGACAAATAAAGAACCTTGACCTTGACCTTGACGTATCCTCTGCAGAGAGCCTGAGTCATGGTCACCAGCTCAGCCAGTTTCTCATCTCTCATCTCCTCAAGAGTGCCCAGCAGACCAGCTTTGAAGAACACCTATTTAATCATTGAAAACATAAGTACAAGTACAAATGGACAGTGTTTTGTTAATGTCTATTAATATAAAAAAGTGTACCTTTGTGTGCCCAAACATGTATTGTGTGTGATCCACATCAATGGAGCCAAGCAGCTTCTCTGAAGCTTTTTTGTTGTCAATGAACTGTCCCTCAGGGATGACACTGGCATTCAACACTTTGTATCTTCAAGAGAGAATCAGGTTGTTACTTAGATTTTTCTTCCATCATATTCAAGTTTGTCCTTTACATCAACCATGAAACCATTTCTGCTTTCCAATATTGTAATGTGCTGTCATCTCTGTTTGAAGTCACCATAGAGGATTCTGCTGGGGAAACCCTTTCTGCAGATTCTGATGCCCTCCAGTACACCGTTACACCTCAGCTGGTGGATGACCAGGAAGTTCTCCATAAGGCCTGAGAGTCAGAAATCCATAACGTTTCAAACGTTTCTTCATTTCACTCTGTCATTTTTGCAGTTAATAGGACTGTGGGGTACCTGGGGTCTTTGTCTCATTGGGAATCAGGCAACGGACAAAGTGAGGATGAGTGCTTCTTAAGTTGGTCATCAGCTTGGACAGATTCTCCTGTAGATCAGCATCATTAGATAATAGGTCAAAAATATTTTAAAAAGAGCATTTAATTTTGTTTTTCTAAAATATAAATCTATACATACAGAGCAGACACAGTCTGGAAGGAACCACCCTTCTTCTTCCCACCTTTCTTGCCACCACCAGTAGCCTCTGTTTTCATAAACAGTAAATTTCATTACTGGAATTGAAAAAATATTTTTCACAGTATAATATTAGCCACGCGAGCTTGTGAGCACTTTTGTTTCTTACCTTCAGCTCCAGCATGGGCTGCATACAGGAAGCCCAGCAGTTTGTTTGATGACTTCTGGTAGAGCTGAACAACTGAATCATTCAGTGGGTCCTTGTTCTTGTCCAGCCAGCCAGTGATATTGTAGTCCACTGTACCAGCATAGTGAACCAGGGCGAAGTGTGCCTCAGCCTTGCCCTTTGCAGGCTTTGGTTTCTCAAATGCTTTGGTCTTGCCAAGATGCTGATCGTGCAGCTTGTTCTTGAACGTTGTGTCAGAGGCCTTGGGGAACATGCACTCCTCTTCAAGGATGGAGAAGATGCCCATTGGCTGAGAAAATGTCACAAATCATATTAAAATTTCAAGGGAGATAACATATGCAACCATATGTAAATTTCTTCCTGAGCAGCTGTTTACCTTCTCAATAAGCTCAATGCAGGCAGCCAAGTCCATACCAAAGTCAATGAACTCCCATTGAATGCCTTCTTTCTTGTACTCCTCTTGCTCCAGGACAAACATGTGATGGTTGAAAAACTGTTGCAGTTTCTCATTGGTGAAGTTGATGCAGAGTTGCTCCAAGCTGTTGAACTGTAATAGTACAAACATGTCTAACTTCAAGGCAATAAAGTCTTTAAAGTTTGAGAAATGTGGTGAAATGTCTCAAGTGCTCACATCAAAGATCTCAAACCCAGCGATATCCAGCACTCCAATGAAGAACTGTCTGGGCTGCTTTGTGTCCAGCATCTCATTGATACGGATAACCATCCACAAGAACATTTTCTCATAGATAGATTTGCACAGAGCCGAGACAGCATTGTTGACCTGGCAAACAAGAATTTATAATGATACAAAACCATATGAATACAGCTATAATGTTTATAATTAGAATATGATTATACAAGTCTCCCTTTTTTAAATTACCTGTGGGACGGTCTGACCTTTGGTCACCATCTCATTGCCGACTTTGACTCTTGGGTAGCACAAAGCTTTCAGCATATCAGCTGAGTTCAGGCCCACGAGATATGCAATCTTGTCAGCCACTGAGGAAAAATAGCACAATATCTAATTAATGTACATTTCTTCAAATGTTACTTCCCTCTAATGTCCCAATCCTCCCAATTATAAACAAAAAAACTTCAATTTTACTATTTTGCCAGTTACCCTCAGTGCCATCAGGTTCAGCCTGCTCTTCACGCTGCTGCTACTTGAATTTCATGTTGCCATGATGCATCACAGCACCAGTCAGCTTGTAGATGTTTATTTTCTCATCAGCAGTAAAGCCCAAGATGTCAATTGCAGTCTGAAATTCACACAAATGAAAGAAACAAATATTCTGAAAAAGAAAAGAGATTTATGCCCAAATGCAAGAATGCAGATAAACATGAAATGTGATTTCACATCTGTTGCAATGAACTCCTCCACATCATTGATGCTCTTGACAGTGACTTCACCCTGACTGATCATTGGATAGTCATAAGGGTTAGTTGTGATCAGAAGAGCCTCTGTAATAAATAGATTAATTAATTAATTAATAAAAAAATTGTCTCATTGTATTTTCTTTAATTCTTGGAACCACTGAATGAAAGGCAGAGTCTTCAGCTATCATGCTACTTTCCTGTGGAACCAGTTTCCAGTATAGATTCAGTAGACGGACAACCTCCAATTGAATATTAAGCTGAAAACTTTTAACGCTTTTATTTAAAACAAAGTTAGGGTTGGATCAGGTGACCCATGAACATTCTTTTAGTCACACTATGCTCAGAGTGCTGGGAGACTTGCATTAATGTACTGAGTATATATTTTCCACTCAGATTTTCAGGTTCATATAGCATTACATTGACACAGTTTATCACTAGCATGAAGTGTACCCTATGGTAACCAGTAATGAGATTTAAATTTGGAGAAGTCCTGAAATGTCACTGGTATACAGTTGCAGGACATAAACATCTCAGGCATCTGTCATCAAATTCAGCATCAGACTTTCTCTTAATGCCAGACAAGTATTGTATATCTCTACTGGGAACAGACTTTAAGGACGATTGGTCAGCTCAGATAACCAAATACCAGAACAATGTCACAAATAATACTGATGCATTTCTGCAAAATATAAGGATACAGCTTTTTTTTATTTGTTTTTTTGTTTTGTTTTTTTGCCTAGTAAGTGATAAATGATTAAAGTAAAGGACCCACGCATGGCTTAATATTTTCCATCTTATCAGCAGATGAAAAGGTATTAAGGTCAAAAGTAAATCCAGGAAAGGTTATCTTATGTTTCCTGAATTTTATAAGTCTTCATAATTTTACAATGAGGAACAGCATTGTATCACAGACTGTAGAAAATTTGTTGTTTTGTTTTTTTTTCTTGTTATTGGTGAGCCTCTGCCAGACTTTACTTCTGACAAACACCCCCTCTCTGACATGCTGTTTTTAGAATTAATCATGTTACTGACCTGTTGCTAATTAATCTTTTAAGATTTTTAAGATTTTAGCCTGTGGAATCTTCCTCCAACTATGTTTTGGAAACACGTTGCTGTCATCAGATTTAAATGTTTTTAAATTAATAGTAAAATGTCAGACTTAACATATCAAATCTCTTAAATGTTCCCCATCCCTGGTGGATAAAACTGTACAGTTATCCTCACTTTAAAATACTTTAAAATATTGTAAGACATATAGATTTTTATCCACTTTCTCTAATCTTTATAACTAAACTTTTAGAATTTGAAACAGTACACAGAAAATAAAATAATAAAATCAGAAATGTTCACTTTCAGTGCGCATGATCACTGGTCAGAGATCCAGTTGATCCAGATCCTGTTCTTGTCCAACTTTTCATTAAGCCAGGCAGCACCGCTGTTAAAAAATGAAAACTGCCACTCAATACATTAAAGAGCAATGAAAAGGATTAAGAATCTGTAGGGGGGGGAAAGAGTCCCACATACACAAAGTTATGATCGCAAGCTTCTTATTTTAACCTGTTGAATTACAGTTATGTACCCAGGCTGCTGTCTCACATCTCATAGTTAGAAAGCCTTGCTGAAAGGGCTCTCTAGGGAGAAATGTTAAGCACATGACTCGTTTAGCTTGCAACTGATGGTGCAGCTGCTGTAATGAGATGATAGAGAGGAGCCACCACACTCTTATGCAAAAAGATTGTTCCTAACCTCATTCAAAAATTAAAACCTATGGTCCATTATGAAATAAAACACATTACAGAGGAGATTCATTTTCACATACTTATTAAATGTCAGTACATAGTCACAGTTGCCTTGTTTTCCCTGATGGATATTTGCACACCATAATCCTCTTGGAATACGCTTATTGATTGGAACACCCGATTTGGATGTCTAAGTTAATACTTTTGGCAATATAGTCTGCATATATATAAAAATTCCCCACTCGCCCTGCAAGTGTCTTTATCCTTTCAGCTTGGGTCCTCTACCTGAGGTCTGGAAGCTGTCAGTATCTTTGCTGCAATATTGTCTTCTGGTAGTGCAATCCCCTCAGGTCTGACTACCTTTGCTTTCTTTGTTGCCATCCAACCACACTTCTCTAGTGTGAACATTCCAATATTGTTGCTGTAGATCTTAGTGGTGTGGATCAGCGAGACTATGTCTTGTTCACCCCTGGCATACAGCTTGATGTCATCCATGTAGAGGTGGTGGCTAAAATTTGCTCCATTCTGTACTTGTTCTAGTACAGAAGTCTTTTCAATGATAAGGCTGAGGAGGTTTAGGACTGCAGAACAGCAGTGGGGACTGAGTATCTTCTTGGTAAATCCTGCACTTGATGGTGACTTGCACAATTGGCTTGAAGTTGGCTTCTATTGTTAATATCCACATATTCCTGATGAAGGCTCTTAGGGTTCTGTTGATCTCATATAGTTCTAAGCATTCCAGGATCCAAGTGTGAGGCATTCAGCCATAGGCTTTCTTTTAGTCAATCAGGTCTGGTCTTACAGTCTGGAATTACTTCTCTATCTACCAGTAGCTAGTGTTTCTGTCCTGGTCTGGGTGAGTGCTGTATTTTTCGACAGTGGTGGTGATTCCACCTCTGGGAAGAGTTGTCGCATCATGACAGGCTGCACCTGGGAGTAATTTGGTGGTCAGCTTTTTAAGACCAGCGCTCACAATCACTCTCCGTCAGATGGTCTGCTAACCACCGTTAGTGTAGGCCGTCGCAGTTCATGTCTGAGTTTCATAGTGTTGCTCATACTTACCAGTTTTTTCTTCTCTACTCACAGAAATTCGCCGGACGCCATTTTCTAACCTGCAATAATCAAATCTCTGTTCAGTCGCTGTTCTGCTCGGCAGCTTCACTGCTTATACCCCTGCCTGCCTCCCTGCTGGAACTGGAACTGGAACAGTTCGTATCTCCATTCTGGACTCACTCACAGCTCACCCGGACCACTTACCCTTCTAGGCTTTGCTGCCACCTGCAAAAAGTGAGACTGTTCACAATTTGTCTGTTTCACCCTGGATCAGTGTGTGGAACACCCCTTGACACCTGTTTCTTCTGTAACAGTGACTCTGAGCACCCCAGCCCCTTTCCCCAGTCTAGCCTTCACCTTAATCTCATGCCATGAGGTTCCTGTATTAGCAGTTACCCAGTATCGGGTTCTCCGGCTCTTGTACATGCCAGCCTGTGCGCATGATTTCTGGACTCTTTCATAGTTCCTCTAGTGTGTAATATTCATCATTCATGGTTTTGTGTGTGTATTCATGGTAACTATCATAGCCTTATTCTAGTTAATCATAGTATTGTTCTAGTTCATGGTTCATCATAG